TGTCTCGTTCTCTTGCGCCTCCAGCTCCAGTGCCTCCAGCGCCAGTGCCTCCAGCTCCAGTGCCTCCAGCGTCAGTGCCTCCAGCTCCAGCGCCTCCAGCTCTAGTGCCTCCAGCTCCAGTGCCTCCAGCGGCAGTGCCTGCAGCTCTAGTGCCAGCGCCTCCAGCTCCAGTGCCCCTAGCTCTAGTAGCGCTGCGGCGGAGGCGAGTGCGCTGAGCTAGCCACTCGCGCAGCTGCTGTGGTGAGAGGGGCTCCCGCTGGGAAGACCGCGGAAGTGAGGCACCCGAAAGACCACTAGTAGACCTAGCTCCACTAGGCTCTGCACCCCCAGGCTCAGCACCCCCAGGCTCAGCACCCCCAAAAGAAGCACCCCCAGGCTCAGCACCCCCAAGAAGCAGCAACCCTTGGCTCAGTACCCCCAGGCTCAGCACCCCCAGAAGCAGCACCCCCAGGCTCAGCACCCCCAGGCTCAGCACCCCGAGCAGCACCACCCCCAGCAGCACCTGAGTCACCAGTGACCTCGACAGGCTCAGCTAAGGGAAGTGGGTCTACCTGAGAGACTTCTGAAGGAGCAGGACCCTGAGGGGGGAGGGGGTCTACCGGAGGGGGACCTGGAGCGAGAAAGAGCGGCGGGGGGGGGGGGAGAGGGGCAGTGTGGTAGGCAAAGAGACGGTAAAAGGGAACCGACTCGTCAAATGTGACGTCCTGAGAGGGGAAGACACGGCGCGAGCTGGGGTGGTAATACTTCCAGCCAGGCGCGTCAGGGACAAAGCCAAGGAAGACGCAGGTAATAGCGTGAGAGGAGAGCTTGCCCGCGGTGGAATCGCGGACAAAGGCACAGGAACCCCAGACCCGGAACGCGGACGCATCGCCAATCTCCCCCGTCCAACAAAGTGTAGGTGAGGTCTCCGGCAAGGAGACACGGGGCCAGAGGTTGAGCTGATGCGCCGCGTACCGGACCGCAAACGGCCACAGAAAATGGGGAGCAGCCGCATGGATCATAGAGGTACGAGCGACCTCCATGACTAAGCCAATGCGGCGCTCAGCAATCCCATTTTGCTGCGGGGAGGCCGGAAGCGTGAACGACTGGTGAATGCCCTCCTCCTCACAAAAGGACCTTTAGGGGTCGGAGGACAACTCACCGCCCCTGTCATGGTGTAGACGCAGGACAGGAAGGTCCGTGCGGAACCGCTCGCGCAGCTGGAGACGGACAGCTCGGATCCAAGGGATCAAAACAGCAGGCATCTCACCCTTGCTGCGCAAGGGGAAGACCGTGGTGTAACGCGAGTAGTCGTCGACAACCAGCAGAAAGTATCGCTCGCGGCCCTGTCCCTGGACGCGGCTGGGCCCCACACGTCCATGTGGAGAGTCTGCAGAGGAGCAGTCGTCGGGGGAAACGAGGAGTGAGGAGCGGCGCGCTGCCGCCCCTCGACGCAAGGAATGCAGGGCGGGGCAGGCGAGGGTGGGAGGGAAGGCAGAGACCTGGAAGACCAGAGACCAGAAGGTGACGGCCAGTCCGAGAGCACGTACAGATCGCCACACGCTGCCATCCAGGTGTAAAGGTATCAACCCCCCCCCCCATCTTGGAGAACTGCGTTGCTCACCAAGTTCGTCGAGAACGAGGGGAGGTGGAGACCAGACAGGGAACCGGACGGAACGGCCGGGCACGGGAGCACAGTAGAGGAGCGTGCAAGAACCGGGCCCCCAGAGGGGTCAGCCAGGGAAACTGCAACAGGCCTGGTGAGTGGTGTGACTGTGGTACTGTCACAAAAGAAGCAGCGAGAAGTACCTGATTCAAGCGTGAAGGTGTGCAAGGCCTCAGCAGGCGCAGTATCAGAGAGAGCAGACTCACTAGCACCTAGAGCAGCAGCCTCTATACCAGGGTCATACGGCGCACACAAGTAACAGTCACCCTCAACACTAGTAGACAGAGCATACATGCCAGCAATGATAGCATCAAAGTCTAGAGCAAAGATATCAACACCAGCCTAAGCTCTGCCCAGCGGGGCAGCTCATGCTCGTCGCCCATCTCCTGGCGCCAAGCGTCGTCTAGGCGGGAGAAACAGCGGTGCTGGGTGTGAAACTTCCCGCACGTCTGACCAGCGCGGGGACCTGTGCGAATAACGTACGAGCAGCGACCACTACCACCACCCCTAGATGCCGTACGCTGAGCAAGCCACTCACGAAGCTGCTGGGGCGAGAGGGTCTCACGTGGACGCTGATGCTGCTGCCGCTGAACTGTGCCAGAGCGATCACCACCGCAGCCGTTGCCACCACTCCCGCCGCTGCCACTCCCGCCACCACTGCTCCCACTGCCACCACGACCACTACCACCACCACCCCCGCCACCGCCTCCACCTCCGCCGCCGACGGCCCCACTCGCTCCACCACTCCCACCGCCACCTCCACCACCTCCGCCTCCCCAACCATCTCCCCCCCCCCCCCCGCCGCCACCACCACCACCCTTGCCCCCCTTGCCCTTGCTGCTGCGGCGCTTCCCACTAGGAGCAGAAGCAGCACCGACCTCATTAGCACCAAGGAAGTCGACAGCAGCGGCAGAGGCAACAGAGGGGGCGAGGGGGGAGGGGGAGCACCCCTCAAAGAAGGGCGTGCGAGGGGTGCCACGGGTAGCACCTACAGCGACTATGTTGGCTTCAGCTGCAAGAAGGTGCTTCCCTAGCAGGTCGATAGTGAGGTCTGTGGGGGGGAGAGCGAGAAGGGTGTCCCGGACTGCACTAAGAGAGTCAGGGAGGCGTGTCACTATAAAGTGGAGAGTGATATAGATCGGGGGCTCGTTCATGGGCAGGAACTCGGCAGAGAGGGCAACACGGTAACGAGCATCCGTAGCGCGAAGGTGGGAGAGGAGATCATCTACAGAGGCGAAGGAGGACAGGTCAGGGAAAAGGTAGGGCAGGAAGAGGCGGCTAAGTGCTGCAGTGGCAGGGGATGAGTAGCGGGCAACTACAGCCTCGTAAAGGGCCTTAGCAGTTTTCGCATGGTAAAAATGCTCGCATTCAGCTACCGGCAGGTGGTTGCGAATGGCTAGGCGAGCAGCAGCATCGCGGGTAAGCCACTGCGAGCGAGTCGTCGCGTCAGCTGAGGCTGGTGGGGCAGTGGAGGCACCAGTCGCTAGGTCATAGAGCGAAACACCGTCCCTAGCGTCGCTCAGCAGGTACAGCTGCAGGTACTAGAGCTAGGTTTCGAAGTTGACTGGGCGGCCGTCAGGATCGAATGCGAGAATACGCAGAGTGGCAATAGTTTAGCAGCTTAGTAGCAGGGCAGGGCAGAGGCAGCGCAAGGGCTGCAGAGGTTTCAAGCAGGCAGCAAGGGCGGCGCGCGAGGCTGTAAGGGCAGGGCGCAGGCTGCAAGGGCGTTGCGCGGGGCTGCAAGGGTGGCGCACGGGGCAGAGCCGAGGCAGCTCGAGGGCTGTTGGGGCAGGGCGCGGGCTGCAAGGGGCTGCGCGCGGGGCAGGGCAGAGGCAGCTCGAGGGCTGCTGGGGCAGGGCGCGGGTTGCAAGGGGCTGTGCGCAGGGTGGGGCAGAGGCAGTGCGAGGGCTGCTGGGGCAGGGCGCGGGCTGGAAGGGCGGTGCGCGGGGCAGGGCAGAGGCAGCGCGCGAGGGCTGCATGGGCTCGCGCAGGGCTGCAGATGGCAGCGCGCGGGCTGCAGGGGCAGCGCGTGGGGCCGCAAACGGGAGTGCGCGAGCTGCTGGGGCTGCGCGTGGGCAGTGAGGGCGGCACGCAGGCTGCTGGCGCGGTGCGCGGGGCTGCAATGGGCCGCGCCCGGGCGGCGAAGGCGGCGCGCGGGCGGTGAAGGCAGCGCACGGGCGGTGAAGGCAGCGCGCGGGCTGCGAATAGGCGACACGCGCGGGCTGCAGGGGCGGCGTGCGGGATTGCAGGGGCGGCGCGCGTGGGCGGTATAGGGCAGGGTAGGGCGTGGGGTAGCGCGGTAACTGGTGGGCCCTAAAAAAAATCGGACCTACGGACCTACTGCTCTTAATACCATGTTGAGAATCTAGGCCAAGAATGATTGGGCTAGGAAGCAATGGGATGCAAATGTGAAAACCGTAGAAGGGTTGTACCCCCTAGTGGCTACCCCTCTATAGCCTACACAATATGCACAACATATAGTTTGACAATTCTCACCAACGACGCCCCCGCGCCCTTCCCCTCGGGCTCCGTACCGGGCATCAACGCCACGGGCGTGGTGATGCGGTTCATTGTGGACCACACGGCCGCTGTTGTGCCTGCGCCTCCTGTCCCCAAGAAGCTCGTTGTGAGTGTGTGTGTGTGTGTGTGTGTGCGCGCGCGCTGTGGGAGGGCAGCACGGGTGTGCTCTTGTCGAGTATTCCCCTTCATGGGCAGCAACGCCACGGGCGTGGTCATGCGGTTTCTGGTGGACAGCTCAGGTGTTGTGTTGTCGCTACCTGTCCCGAAGAACAAGCTTCTTCAGGTGTTATGAGTCGGTGTGCTCTGTGGGCAGGGCAGCAGCAGCACGGGTGTGCTGTAGAGTATTTCTCCCGTCCTCTCTCGGACCCCGGAGCTGCCCCTCTGTCTTAGGCTTCTCCCTTTGATACCAAGGAGAGGTGAAGTGTGCCACTGAAAGTGCACGCCCCACTCCAACCGCCCTTTGATGTTCCTTGACGGATCAGCCCCCTCCTTTCTTCCTCCCTGCTTCCCACAACCCCGCCCTCACATCTCTCCTCCTCCCCAAACCCCCACCCCACCACTTTCTTTCTCGCACCTCCGCTCTCCTCTCTCCTCTCCACACCTTCCCTCACCCCTTTCCTCCCCACATCTTCCCTCTCACCGCGCCAGTCCCTTCCCAAGTTCTGTCCCATGTAACCAAAGAGAGGTGGATGACAAGCCTGCCAGAGCGCCTCACTCGCGCTCTCTCCTCGCATCCCCCTTCCCCCGTGGCAGTCCCTTCCCAAGCTGCGCCTCTCCCGTGTGATCAAGGAGAGGTGAATGACAGCCGTGCAGGTGAATTCGCGCATCACCTTCAATGGCCTTGGTTTCAGTGATCCCGCAACCGAGACTCCCAATCGGGTGAGTGTAGCGAGGTGACTCTTGAGTCACGGGTGAGTGTAGCGAGGCGAGGCACCCGAGATGGTAGAGTGTAGAGGTGGAGAGGCACCCATGCAGATGAGTGTATAGGCAAGGCACATTGGCACACCATGCCTTACACAGTGACACCCATCCCATCCACTTGTTTCGCATTCACCCCATATCCCCACGCCTGCTGTCTTTCCACGATGCGTGCCATGTGCCATATGCCACATGCCACATGCCATGTGCTACCCTGTCCATATGTGCCTTGTGAGCAGGACTCGGAGGAGCTATGGCACATCATCAACAACACATCAGCGGCGTGCATGGGTGTGGGACGCGTGTGGCACTGCCCACATCATGGAGCATGAGGGCAATGAGATGATGCGGCCCCTCATTATCAAGTAAAGAGCATGGGGAGCAGGAGGATGTGTGCAGGGTGTAGTGAGCACAGCTGCATGCATGGTGTGGGATGGGAATAATGTAGCCCAAGCTGGGTGCGGCACAACTCATGTCGATAAAATGGAAAGAGATAAAGATGTACATGCTCATTTTATTTTTCATCCAATGTGCCAGTGGTCTAGTGGTAGAATAGCACCCTGCCATCAGCTCGGTGCAGACCCGGGTTCGATTCCCGGCTGGCACAGCCTAGTTTTGGAGGATTAAGTTTTTGCGTCCTCATTCTCCGCTGCTGCCATATGATCAGCTCTTTTGCATTAGGGTTTCCGTGTATGGACTCCCGAATCAGCGTCCATCCTGAAAAGGTACGGGGCAGAAGTGCAACAGAAGCATGATATTGTATTTGACATTCGGGATTTTAGCACCACGAGCTTGCGCTCCTGTCTCCCCGCCTCCCGTCCCTTCCCTCTCCCGTCCCTCTTCTCCTTTCATCCCTCCTTGCCTCCCGTCTCTCCCCTCCTTTCATCACTTCCTTCCGCCTGTCCCTCCCCTCCTCACTTCCCTCACCTATTCCCTCTCTGGGCCTACCCTCCTCTTCCTCCCCTTCCTCACCCTCCGCTCCCTCCCCTTCCTCTCCCTCCTCTCCCTCACCCTGTTCTCCCTCCTCTCCCTCACCCCCCTCGCCCTCCTCACCCTCCCCTACTCACCCTCCTCTCTCTCACCCTCCATTCCCTCTTCGCCCTCCTTGCATTCCTTACCCTCCTCTCCCTCTGAGTTTTAGCGAAGTGGCAGAGTTTTTCGCGATGTTCAAGGGTTTAGGGGTGAAGCTTGATGATGGTGCTTTGGAGAAATTCTTGCACACATTTTGTCAAACAACTGACAGCTGAAGCTTATACAGCTCTTCCTAAATTAGTTCCAGTAATCCACCATCTGCACGCAGCCAGATTGCTACTTCTGCTTTCATGTGCTCTTTGCTGGAACAAGCTAAACGGAACTCAGAAACTTGCCTTTTATAAGCTTTCCAGGCTCCAGATTCAATCACTTCGGCGTGGCCTTGGTCATCGGTCAAATCTTCCATACGTGCATGTCTATCCATAGAAACAGTTTGACTTCTAATATCAGGCAAAACCCAACTGTGTGTTCACTTTTGCAAATCAGGCAAAACCTCAACAGTAAGAACTCATCAAAATCATCATACAAGGAAGGATGCTGGTGATGGGTGGGTTGAACAACTCCTCCGCCGACCCTACCCATCACCAACAATAGCCTCTCCACTTTCGGCACCGCTGCTCGCCGCACTTCCTACGGAGAGGGATTTCGCCAACTGCTGTCGCCATCGCCGGAGACGTCGTCGTAGTCGTCGTCGCTGCATTCGCTTGCGACTTCATTGCTCGGGCCGCCAAGACAACGACATTGGAGTGTCGGTTCTGTTGATTTGTTCGCTTGACCGTCTACTAACGTGGAATTTGATGCTTCGCTGGCATCTTGCCGTGGGCTCCGCCCGTGCGTGTTGATCGTTGACTTGCTAATTAGGGGTAATGCGTCGCCGACGCCCTCGGCGACCTACCTGCTTCGTCGCCTTCTATCGTCTCAAGATCAACAGGTGTTGTTTGTCTAACCGCATGGTTTGGTCTGTTATCGTCACGAAAGTTCCATGAGTCGACCCGTATTGACAAATGTTTGTCGGCCATTTCTGTATGGAGAAGTCGCTGCTCGGTTGTCATGATCACTAGTTCTCGCGAAGTGACTACTCGGTTGTCATTATCACTAGTTCTCGCGAAGTGACTACGGAGGTAATGCACAGAGTTAGATTTTTGAGCAAAAACAGAGAGTATCGACCAGGTTGCGTTGAATGAATCCAGTTTTTGGTTGCTGGAAAACTCCAGTGGAGGGAAATGCATAGCACGCATAAAACTACACGCACGGAGGAAATGGCACAATTATTTATCTGCAGCTTGTTCGATCCAGGTAGTCGGAGATTTTCCGTGTCGAGTATGACTAGTTGCCCAGCTGCCATGATGATTTCTCGTCGTACAATATCTGTATATTTCCGGGCATTTGTATTCGCCTTGCGAATGGCATCAGCTGCTTTCTCGCGATTCTCCTGGAGTTCTGTCACAAATATTTGGGACCGTGGGACCGGGTTGTCGAGTGTAGTCGTAGTTGGTACCACCGAGTCCATCCCGTAATTCAGTAAGAACGGGGAGTGATTAGTCATGTTGGAGGGGGCGTTGTTGAACGCGAACTCCAACATGGAGAGTGAAATTTCTAAGCGAGCGGGGTCGGGGCAATTTGTCCTGATCAGCTGTTCCATTGTCAGATTGGTCCGCTCCGTCTGGTCGTCGGTTTGCGGGTGGTAGGCCGACGAGAACTGTAGTTTCGTGCCGTATTGCGCCCACGTCTCCTTCCAAAGCTTCGAAGTGAACTTCAGGTCCCGGTCGCTGATGATCGCTGACGAGATGCTGTGCAGTCGCACAACGGTGGAGATGAAGAGGCGCGCAGTTCGTCGGCTGTGATTGTCATGCGACAAGGTGCGAAGTGCGCCATTTTCGTGAGGCGATCGACGACGACGAATACAGCATCGTTGCCAAACAACCCAGCTGGCAGCCCCGTGACGAAATCCATCGTCACCTGTTGCTATGGTCGCTCGGGTGGCTCCAGAGGTTGCAGCAATCCAGCTGTCCGTTGCCGTGTCGATTTCATGGCCTGGCACACCCTGCATGAGGACACATAACGCTGCACGTCGTTAGAAGAATCAGGCCAACAGTACTGTCGGTGCAGCATTTTCCAGGTCTTATCAACCCCGAAATGTCCGGAGACGTTAGAATCATGGACCTCATGGATAAGGAGTTCACGCAGCAGCCGGTAAGCGGGAACCCAAAACTGGCCGGTTCCGGCTTCTAGGTGATAATTCCCCTTTTGCGTTGTCGCCTGCTGGTGATTTCCAGTCGTGAAGAACGGGTCCGTATAGTAGCCATGGGTGAATGATCCCGTAAGTAATGGGTTCGAATGGGTGATGAGTACTGCAGCGGATTGGACTGTCGGTCGGGTCAGGGCGTCGGCGATGTTATTCGCCCCTTTCTTGTACGTGATGCGGTAGGTGAAGTGGCTCTCCATGTAGTCCAGCCAGCGAATTCGTCGCGGGTTGATGTTGGGCTGAGCTCGTAGATTCTGTAGGGACTTGTGGTCCGTGCGAACAGTGGCGTCGGCGCCCGTCAAGTAGCAGCGCCACAGTTTGAACGCGTGTATTATGGCGAGCATCTCCTTGTCATGTATCGGGTACTTGCGCTCGGCTGCTTGCAGCTTGCGTGACTCTGAGGCTATCGGTTGCAGCCCGTTCTCGAAATCTTGGAGAAGCACAGCTCCGATGGTGAAATGTGAGGAGTCGGTGACGACTTCGAATAGTTTCGATGGGTAGGCAATGCGAAACACCGGAGGGGAAACGAAAAAAATCTTCAACTCCTGAAAAGCCGCCTTAGCTTCCTCCCCCCCCCCACACACAAACTCTCTATCCTTGTGCAGCAGGTCGGTCAGCGGGCCGGTTATCCCCGCCATATTCGAGATAAATCGCCTGACATAATTCACAAACCCCAGAAAACTCTGAAGTTCCGTGAGATTAGTCAGGGACTTCCACTCCTGGATGGTCTTGATTTTCGTCGGATCAATTTTACGGGAGATTACGTGCCCTAGAAACTCCAACTCTTGCTTAAAGAACTCGCACTTAGAGCCCTTGGTGATGAGGCGGTTCTCCTGCAACCGTTTAAACATTGCGTGAAGGTCGCAAAGATGCTGCTCACGTGTCCTGCTAAAAATGAGGATATCGTCCAAATAGACAATGACACATCGGTCGAGAAGGTCCCAAAAAGCCATGTTCATGGTGCGTTGAAAGGTGGAAGGTGCATTCGTGAGGCTGAATGGCATCACAGTGAACTCGTAGCTTCCGTGGCGTGTGCGAAACGCGATCTTATGACAATCGCCGGCAAAGACCCGAATTTGATGTTAACCACAATGCAAGTCAATTTTCAAGAAGTAGCGAGTGCCGCGAAGTTGATCGAGGAGGTTGTTGGTGCGTAGGATTGGATAGCGAGATTCGATCGTCACCCGGTTGAGCGCGCAATAGTCGTTACGCATGCCAAGCCCGTTTTTTTTTTTTTTTTTTTTTTTTGCTGGTGTGAACAGGATCGGCGCTGCAAAGGGAGATGTACTGGGTCGGATTAACCCCTTCTCCAATAGTGCGTCAATTTTCCTTCGCTGCTCCTCGAGTTCCGACTGGGTCTACCGCCACTGTGTCCGAATAGTCGGTTGCGCGTCAGGCTCCAGCTGGATTTTGTGGTCCTCGGAGCGTTTGGAAGGCAGTCCAGGTGGCAGGTCGTCGGGGAAGATGTCCAGGTACTGTCGAATCAGCTCCGCTAAATCAGGTGGTACAGATGCGCACAACTTTTCGATGTCTTTTCCGTCGGTGTTGGCTGCCAACTCGCGCAAGCATATGGCGAACAGCTGTGCGCCTCGGTTGAAGTGGCGAGCAATAGTGATGGCTTTGACGCACGAGGCCTGGATGTAGCTAGGTGTCCATGCAGGCAGTTGAATTAGCCCCTCGTGCTTGCTGATGCTGCACGATCATGTCGTCCAACCGATGATGGGGTTGTGCTTCCGCAGCCAATCACGTCCTAGCAGCACGTCGCAACCGTCCAGCGTCGTCGCAAGAACTTCATGCTGAAGCTGAAATTGTCGCCGCATTCGATCCGCACCATCCATGTTTCTTCCAAAATCGCCAGAGGTGTCCCATCCACGCGAGAGCCGATTTTGGGCAGACACCTGTCAAGTAGCAGCTTGCATTTTTTTGTTGTTGCCAAGTTGAAGAGGCTATGGCTAGCCTCACCATTGACGAGCATTTTCAAATTATTTCTTAATACTCTGCCAACGACCAGCACAGGGTGATCCACATGGTTATCCACGTTATTCGGCTGAATATGATTGATTGCATAAATCGGAACCATGACTCGGTCGGGATGATGGCGTTCGGGCGACAGAGCACAGTTAGTAAAGAGCCCGTCTGTTACTGACTCTTCCATTTCCCGACTCTTTCCCGTCGTTCTTCTTCGGCGGTGTTTTCTCGAGCAGTTTGCATATTTGTAACCCGGCTTTCCGCACTTAAAACACAACTCTGTGTAGGGGCGATCTGGTGCATGGACTCCGTTGATCGTGGCCCATATGGTCAGGCCGCGAAAACAGTTTCCCTCCCAAGAACATGCTCTCGCTTACTGCATCAGCGCATCTATGGATTCTGCCATTTGTACTGCTTCCAGGAACGATGCCAGGCGGCATCGGCGCACCTCGAACTGTATCTTGTAAGGCTGCCAACGTATTTATGTAACCGCTCTGCTTCCGACATGTCATCCACTTGGTCGGCAAACAAGACGCTGTGTAGTCTTGGACAGATGCCAACTACGACCACACATGCAGCTTCATGCGAGCTTGCTCCGAGGCGGATACGTGCTCGAAGCGATCTCGTAAGGCTGCGCCCCACTCCTTCCACGTGCGAATCTTGGTCACGCCGATATCAGTGTTGCCACTTGATAAACCGACGTTGAAGTCCCGTCTGCCGCATGTGTCACACCTGTCGGGGTCCCCGTGTCCAAGGTACGTCGCCACCACTCTAGGGCAGCTCCTTGGAGAAGCGAAACCGCGTAATTAATACGCATGGCATCATCGTCAATGCGCGCTGCAGTAAAGAAGACCTCCACGCCAAACAACCACCCTTTCACTGTAGTCGTCTTGTCG